CAGAGGGTAAATAACTTCTCAAACTCCATGATTAGTTTAAAAATACAAATATAATCACAACTTCCTGATTTGGCCTAGAAAATTTGTTTTATATGTACATGTTAACTGTTAAACAATAAATAAAATTAAACATCAAATTTAAGTAGCAATCCTCACGAAACATTATTTCAAACACAAAGAACTTGCTTTACTATGTACACAATGCTAGAACAGTATTCAGTTTTTATATAATGCTACTACATTTTGTCCTACTACTTCTATAAAAGATAGATGCTAACAATAATATTACGAAGGTGTTTTTGCGTTCCTTACCAACCCTGAAATGATTACAGTTGGTTCACATGAACAAACATTATTTGGTATTAACGAGTTTGTTTAAGTTTTAAAAATGCTGCTAAGATATCTAATATTACCACTACTAAGGTTACATTAAATATTACTACACAGAATTATATTCAACAATAAATAGTTTAATTTATAAGGCTTATTATATTTCAGTTACATTACTTTTTTCAGAGGTCTACAACAAATGGTAAAAACAAATCAAATATCACCGAGTTCCAAGCTCAGCAATGTTTATTCTTATAGTTAATTCATATGATATTCCCAGAATGCAAGTCCATTCTAAGTCTTCAAAATTAAAACACGTAAATACACTTTTTTTTTTTCAAGTAAGAATTCTTGCTGGATATTAAAATCGCTATATATTTTAGATCTCTATCAATGCCTTTTCATAAAGATCTACATTTCAGTGACATACAGCTAAACTTATGTGAACTGGGTCTCTAAACGAGTTTCCAAAAAACTGTAGAAAATAAAAATTGTCTTTTCAGAAAAGTAGGTGTTTCATTGTTTTGAATTTTCTTAAAAGAAAAAGAAGAAGCAGGTGAAACAATTTTTAAAAAAGCTTGAAAAATATTCTGTTAAAAATGTAAATTATTATTTTTCACCAGTAAAACGTATTACAATTTTAAACAACTTAAATAACTGGAATCTTACCAACTTCATCCTTTTTTTCTTTTCTTTGTTTCTCTGTTTGAATGCCAGCTGGTGGAGAAAAAGGATTTGTAAAACTTTAATAAGAGAACATCAAATAAAGAATCTGTTTACTGAAATATATGTTGAAGGTTATGAAAAAAAGTAGACTACAGGTTTGTTCATGTGGTTTTAGATAATTAACTTTGGTTTATATATCACCCATTCAGCCTGAACTACTTTAGTGTAAATTTTTATGTGTATCTATTTTAATAACAAAATGTTGTGTTAGTGCCAGATGCTTGCCACTTCTGCAATTGTGATTTGTTTCACATATTGGCCAGTAGAAAAGCCTGCTATTTACAATGATGGTAATCAATAAAACTACTATGAATTGTTGTCAAGTATATTTTCCATTCCATTTGTCTTCTCCCTTTCCAATTGCCTCATTAGAATCTGTATTCATATGTTATTGTATGGAGGTTGTGTAACAATGAATTTGTTATTTGACCCACTGGAAGCACCCCTTTGCAGGGTGTTAAATATCATAACTATCATGTCTTGACCAGCATTTTATTTACAATGTCAACCTGCAGAACTGAATGGCCTTTTGGTATTGCCAGCTCCACTGGCTTATACATTTAGTGTTTCTTTCTTATTGTCAGAGTTCCAGTCATGTGTTGAGATTGTTCAGTAAATTATGATCAGAAGAGCAAAGAATGAGGAAATGTTGCAAAAATTTCAACATTTTCGGAACATGACATTATAAACAAGTCAACTACTATCCTTCAACCAGTAAGTGTACATTAACTTTTGTGGCTAACTGGGTATATTTATGACTTGTTTAAATTAAAACAAACTGGCTATATAGCTAAGGCTTTTCTGATCCTGTTGCTTACACAGAAATGGCTAAGAAGTTCAATTTAAAATTCATAACAGCACAAAACAGTAGTATCAGTCATTTAAATTAGATAATGGAATTTTTTAAGTTAAACATCTCTGCACATGTCACAAAGTTTTAGTATCTTACATTCAAAATTTTATTAAACTAATTTTTGTTTATATTATACCACTTAGTATAGCATAAAATCTTAGCTAATAATTCATATTTTAATAGTATATAAGTTTTAAGTTCTTACTTTTATAAGGCAATATTCAAAAACATCCCAAATTTCCCCTAGTGTAAGAAATGATATTTTTTCTCTAGGCATCCCCTCTTCTCCAATTTATATTTACCACCTCTCCAATAAGTATGATATTTAATGTAAATTACTCACCATAAAATTATCATCACTCAGACAAACCATAATTTTTATAGCCTTCACTTGTTTGATTACAGAACCATCAAATAGAAAATGGACCCCTCTTGCCACACCCACCTGTCATATCCTCTCTTTCAGGATTTATTAATAGTTCTCTCTTATGTTTAATAATATATTATTTATAACCAAAAGACATCCAAAAGAAATCAAATGACATATTATATTAGATTGTTTTCTGAACAGAGAAATGGCAATTTCTTTTTTAGTACATGCTTCGCTCCCATGGGAAACATATCGACTAACTTGGATGAATTTGTTACGTCTCTTGTCGCATGGTTAGAAAGCCAGAAAAATTGTGATTGTTATGGGACATTGTCTGCTTTTTGTATGTGATTATTCTATGTTTTTAGTGCATTATTTAATTAAATGAAAAATTATTTAGTGCATTACTACCATTAATATAAAAAAGTAGGGTTAAGTGTCATTGACAGTCGACAGCAAAAAAAAGAAGACCCAGATAAGTACTTTATTTCTTGTTTTTCATATGTATTTTTTATTTAATTTCTATAAAAGTAAGTAAAATGTGAAAATATTAATCTCGTTAGGGTAGTTAAAGTTAGATTAGGTAAAATAAATAATAATAATATAAAAAATACTTCACGAGGCACACATGCAAGCAGCTCAGAGTAGCTTGTGGGTAATGTAATTCAATAGCGTAATGTGAGTTCCACATTCCCCAAGTGATTTACAACTTGTAATGGCACAACTAGTAATTAGACATGGTTCAAAGGGCAATAAAACAATGAAATGTAAGTATAAATAGATTTATACTGTTTAAAGTTAAAGCTACTTAGGATAAACAAATGTAGTTTCATGTTACAATTTGAAGTCATTCTAGAAAAAAAAGGGTAATTTATATTTATTTTTTTGGTGGTTACTAGGTCAGTCAAATATTAAACTCTCTCAACACAGGCTCAGTTATTTTAGTTAATTTTATAATAATTAATCAAGAATAAACATGAAAAACAAGAAATACAGTACTTATCTGAATCTTCTTTTTTCTTGCTGTCATCTGTCAGTGACACTTCACCCTACTTTTTTTATACTAATGGTAGTAATGCACTAAATAATTTTCATTTAATTAAATAGTTCACCAAAGAACATAGACTAATAACATGCAAAAAATAGACAATTTCCCCTTACTATCAAAATTTTTCTGGCTTTCTAACTATGCAACAAGAGACGTTACAAATCCATCCAAGCTAGTCGATATGTTTCCCGTGGAAAAGCTTGTACTAAAAACAAATTGCCATTTCTCTGTTCAGAAAACAATGTAATATAATATGTTCATTTGATAGATGAAAACCTTGGATTTCTATTAGTTATAAATGATTTATTATTAAACGTATAAGAGGACTATTAACAAATCCTAAAAGAAAGGATGTGACAAGAGGGGTCTCATTTTCTGTTAGATAGCTCTGTAACCAAACAAAATTGAATGCTATAAAAATTATAGTTACTCTGAGTGAAGACAATTTTATAGTGAGTAATTTACGTTTAATTTTGTAGTTACTGAAGGTGTGGTGGACAAAACAGAGAAGATACCTAGAGAAAATGTGTCACAATTCAGGATTTTTTTAAATATTGCCTTATATAATTAAGAACTTAAAACTTATATACTATTAAAATATTACCCTTTGAATTACATAATGTAGGAGCTACTTGTAAGCATACCTTGTGAAAAATTATTATTATTATTCTTTGTTTTACCTAATTTTTACATTTTAGTCAACTTTTATAATAATAAATATAGAATACACATGAAAAACAAGAAATAAAATACTTCCCTGGATCATCTTTTTTATTGCTGCTGATTGTCAACGACACTTAACCCTACTTTTTTATACTACTGGTACTATTGCACTAAATAATTTTTTAGTTAATTGAATAATCCACCAAAGAACACAGAATAATAACATGCAAAAAGCAGACAATGTCCCATAACTATAACATTTGTTTTTGCTTTCTCACTATGCGACAATAGCTGTTAAAAATTCAGTTGAACTCATTGATGTGTTTCCTATGAGGATAAGGTTTGAAATGGAAGCAAATTAGACAATTCTCTGTAAAGAAAACAATGTAATATAAAACATCATTTGACAGATTAAAACCTTGGATTTCTATTGGTTATATGGTATTAAATATTTTATGTATAAAATCAAATATTCATTTCATGCTTATATTTAGAAAAAATGACTAAATATCCTTTGTACTGTTTAATATTTCTAAGTTCGGATACTGCTTACTCTTAAAAACTAAGTGTATACTACTACTTACCTCCCTCTGTTGTCTCGATTTAAAAATTTCATCCTCAACTTCTCCCAAATCTAAAAAACATTGAAATGAATTGTATCTATGAAATACTAATAATTATATATGTACTTTAACTCACATTAACATTCTACAAAAGTGGATATATTTGATGAAAAAAATAGTAGAGATGAAAGCTCCAGTAGGGAAAAATAAATCCAATAACAGAGGTCATGTGACCAGGCAAAGCAGCTTTAAGCTTCACCTTCAAAGTTTCAATTTTGTTTTTTAATTTCCCAATATGGCAAAACTAGAGTCAGCTTAATTTTTTCAGTTCAGTGCTGAAGGTGACAAACAGTATAATCACAAACTTAGTTTCCAAACTATCAACATAAGCCTAGCAAATCACTGAGACACTACACGCTTATTCATATTCTCCCGACTTAGCATATATGTAGGCATAAGCCAATCAGCACTCTCAATCCAATTTCCCCCACCACGAATAGGTGAATACCAATTACAAACATCATTGTTATTGAAAGTTTCTATCAAAACTAAAAAAGAAAGGCTGAATATAGGGTGTATTGATAGACATAACTGGATTAAGTATTATCAGTAGATTACAGAAGTGTTAACGGTAATTGAGAAAGGTGTTGCGTTTCTTTCTCAGTACCTGAATTGTTGTATTTTTGATTGGATTGTTTGTAATGCGAATAATCATTAATTCAGTGGTATTCAAACATTTTTTACTGATGACACCCTAACCCACTTATCTCGATGCATGTGTAACACCCCTGCTGCCACATGCAACTTTTTTGTAGTTTTTTTATGTTTATGTTCTTAATTATTCTTTGTTTGGTGAAACTCTTGCGACACCCAGAGCAACTTACCACAACCCTAATTTTGAAAACCACTGCACTAATTACACAAGGTTTATACCCTAAAGCAGTATCATTTTAAGCCTGCAATCAAATCCAATTTAGGTATTCTTGCCAATAATGTAACTTACTATTTTTCATTTGCTCAGTGTTTCTAGCCAATTGATAAAAACATATGAAGTCTATCTATTTTCAAAAATTTCTCCCTGTTGACTCCCAGAGGGAGAAGTGAATTTTCTATATTTTGGGAGTCTTTTCTTTTATTCACATCATCTTTTTAAATCAAAATTAGCATTATGATCACTTTAATATAAACTTTAAATATCACTGAACTATCAAAACTGTGAGCATGTGTCTGCCATGGTCAAGTTTCATTAAAATATCCATAAAATACAAACATTTTTAAGACCCTGATTTAAATGTTGTTTAAACTCACCAGTCATAATCAACTGTACCCTGCTCAGGTTCACAAAGCCACTCTTGGTTAAATAACCCTAGAAAATAAAAACCAAGTCTCAATATTATTTTTAGACAGAGTGAAAGTACACCACACACACACACATACATATGTGAAAGAAAAAATATTATAATACTTTCATATAAGTGTGCAATTTTTTGTAAGTTGGCTAAATAAACCTTTTCTAAAGACGTATATGAAAAAGTTCTTTTGAACATCTATTAAACATTATTTATTTTGCCAATAATGAGACAATGAAACAACAGATGATGTGGCAAACAACTTCACTTTCTAAAAAAAATAGCTATTTAACAATTATTTCCACCTTGAAATATGTTGTGCAAGTTAACATGTAAAATATCACATTCTTTATAAATTACTCATGCAGTTTGTAAAGGGAAATGTAGCAGTAAGAGTCTAATGTAACATACAGTTTAGATTCTAAATATTATGATAGTAATAAATAAATTTTTAATAAAGAAAAAGATTTATTCAGTTTCCTTTATAGTACTATAGAATTTGTCTAACAAAAAGTTGGTATTTTAGAACTGTGGTTATGTGGTAGTGATAAAAAATCCTCATTCTGATAACTTATGAGAAATTAAACTAAAATTGATTATATTACATTAGTTACAAGTTTAAATGAATGTGTATAATTACAGCATTATGCTTGACTTTATGGATTTATTGTATAGTATCATTAAATAGTGTAAAAAAAAATCTATAAAGTTAATGAAAAAATTTGGTAGATGCAGTAATGATAATTATTTACTATGATTAATGTGATTATTTTTATTTACTATGATTAATGTGATTATTTTTATTTACTATGATTAATGTGAATATTTTTATTTACTATGATTAATGTGATTATTTTTATTTACTATGATTAATGTGATTATTTTTATTTACTATGATTAACGTGATTATTTTTATCTACTATGATTAATGTGATGATTTTTATCTACTATGATTAATGTGATTATTTTTATCTACTATTATTAATGTGATTATTTTTACTTAAGAGCAAAATATGATTAACAAGTGTAAAAAGACACCACAACAATAAACTGCTTGATTATTAAATTCTTAGATTTATATATTAAGCTTGGAACATTGTTTTCGATAACCACAAAAGTTACACAATAGGCTAACTATGCTCTGCCAACCACAGGTATCGAAACCTGATTTTTAACATTATAAGACTTCAAACTTTTGCTGAGTAACTAGGGGCTTCAAGTCTTATTGTGTTCAGAATTGAAAAAAAGTATTATAGTAAGCAGCAAAGATAATCAGCTGTTCTTTTAATTAAGAGGAGACTAAATATAGGTATCTATTTAACTGGTATTTTGATACTGACTGTTTTGTAACATTTAATGTTATCGTTAATGTGACAGCCAAAATAATTTTAGGTAGTTTTTTGTGTGTGTGTGTGTGTGTGTGTGTGTAGATATTATTGCCATGTAGTAGTGAAAACATTGTTGTTCCTATTTTTAGAGTTAGTAATTCATCTAGTTTTAGAAGCAAAGGGTTTTAAATTTAATTGTTTGTACATGAACATAATAGAACTAGTTTCTTGAATACTTACATTCTGAATATAAAATCACATGATTTTGTCATTAATTTTTATGTATAAATATAGTTCACTCATAAGGCTTGAGGTTGCAGTAGTTAATTATGGTTTTGATCCTTAGTTTGACTGGTTGGGAGGGAAGTATGTTAAAAGAGAATTAAGAAATCTATATCACCAAGCCAGAGAAAGCTGAACTAAAGTTTAAGACTTTGAATCAACGTTTTTTTTCCAAGCCAAGATGCACAGCATGTGGATTGAAGGCAGTCCTTCATGATACATGGTGGTCAAGCATTTTTAATGACTTTGTATTTGTTTCCAAAATTAGTTTAGCTGCCTTTTTTGTAGATTTTAGATAAGAATAGACCTTCTAGCTCTAAGTTAGAAGTGTTAGGATATTTGATATTCCTTGTCTTTTTTTGTTTGTTTTCTAAATTTTATGCAAAGCTAATCATCAGCTATCTGCACTAGTCATTCATAATTTTATAGTGATAGACTAGAGGGAAGACACCTAATCAACACTACCCACTGCCAACTTTTTGAATATTCTTTAACAATGAATAGTAGGGTTGATTTTCACATTATAATGCCCTCAGGGGTAAGTATGTATGGTGACAGAGTTTTGATTATGAAGCCTTCAGATAGCGAGTTGAGCTACCTTACTACAAGGCCATGTTAGGCCCTCTATTCTTTGGTACAACTTGCAAATCAATTGTTCATGTAAGAATAATTATGACCTGATCTATTTTATAGGCTTTACTGTAAACATGGTACTTTAATATTAAAAACACAAACCAAATATAAATAATGAAGTAAGTAATCGTTCTACAATCAATATTTACAACAAAGTACACAAAATCTAGTTCTTTAACTTTGAAAATAAAGCTTTGTGATGATTCTTATTCCCAAGTTAACAAATGATGTTCCAAGAGGAATACCCACTACATTTATTTTACAAAAGAAAATACTTTCCACCTAAATTAAAAATTATCTGAAAAAATTGTCCTCGAAAAATGGATTAACAAGTGTGTAAAAAGAATGAAATATTTTCCAGAGACTTACTCCTGTCTTATAAACAGTCTTCTTGTACAAATTGACAAGTCTATCAATAGCACCTTCTCTAAAAAAAATTAATAAAAAAATGTGCAATGTATACATAAAGAATAGTTGCAATCATTTCTATAAATAATGAATTCTTAATAAGGGGTAATGTGCCAAGATTTCAGTTTTAGGCTCAGAAGTCAAAAACTTAAAAATAAAAAACCAAATACCAGTAAAGTCAGTGAAGAGTAATAAACAGCTTTACAAATAGAAATATGTTTCAATATTTATTAAATTATATTTTCCTACAGTAGGTCTTTATCAAGTTATATATGTGTTAAATAATGCTTGCACAATTCAAATTACACTACACAGTAGGTCTTCATCAAGTTATATGTGTTAAATAATGCTTGCATGATTCAAATTACAATACACAGTAGGTCTTCATCAAGTTATATGTGTTAAATAATGCTTGCATGATTCAAATTACAATACACAGTAGGTCTTCATCAAGTTATATGTGTTAAATAATGCTTGCAGGATTCAAATTACAATACACAGTAGGTCTTCATCAAGTTATATGTGTTAAATAATGCTTGCATGATTCAAATTACAATACAAAGTATGTCTTCATCAAGTTATGTGTGTTAAATAATGCTTGCATGATTCAAATTACAATACACAGTAGGTCTTCATCAAGTTATACGTGTTAAATAATGCTTGCATGATTCAAATTACAATACACAGTAGGTCTTCATCAAGTTATATGTGTTAAATATTGCTTGCATGATTTGGACTGAAGGCATAAAAATGTACTGGCAAAATATTATTCAGGGCATTTTAGGGTTTCACAGTTGCTGAAGTATCCAAGTTAGTTTTATTTATAAAATATTCTTATACAAAAGTGTTTATTACTCATCATTAAATATACAAAATACTAATGCCTGATATACCTCACATTTAGGAAACCGACATTTTCTCAAAGGGTAATCAAACTATTAAAGAAAGAGAAAAATATTCTCAAAACAATAACTACATTTGACAAGTCTTATGAAACTGGGCAACTTAGGTTTTGTTGGTCATTTTTTTAAATCTATTTTTTTTCTTTAGCATTTACTTTTCTGTGCACTATATCCAAATATGTATATACAAACATGTACCATATTTAAACAACTATGAATATTAATAACCCACAAATTACCTGATCTCCAGAGAAGGAAGATGAGGTAAAAAATCATTTCCAACAAAGAAACACATGAACACCCAGTCATCAATAGCTCTCTAAACAAATAAAAGCAGAAATGTTTATAATGATATACAAAATATAAAACCAATCTGTAATACATTTTCCATTACAGTAACAGTTGCTGCTATACATATATAACTCCCAATGCTACACAACATACAAAACTCATGTAACTATAGAAAAAGGTAATGAATGCTTGAAAAATTCTCTTAGCCACCGAGTCTTTAAAACTTTTCATAAACCTTTGGACCAAAACAGAAATTAACTATTGAACATACCAAGAGTTCCAAGAAAGTACGAGAAACACAAATGGTTTTTCCTCTCAAACTATACAAAATCAGATGAGACAATGATGATACATCATCACCCATGCTCATACTTCAAATTAACACATACTTTAAACAAATACTAATTCTTTGTCATTTAGTATAAATATTGTCATAAAAATTTACCTCCAGATCAAAAGTAAATGGAAGATTTCTCATAGTCAGTTCTTTTTCTAAGTATTCCCGGAGTATATTCAAACGAAGAAAGATAAACTGGGTTTCGGCACCTAAAGGTTTCTCTAGTTCATCATACTATAAAATCAAAAATAAATACATTACACTCATACATTGAAGAAATAGATACAAATCAAACTAAACAAATTTTAACTCCTGTCATCAACAGTCTCATTAGTTATAGATGTAAATGCAGTATTACACTTGTCATGTAAGCTATGACGATGGCAATGCTTAATACAACACTTACTTCATTATAAGCTTAGTACCCAACACTTAAATGGAATAGTTAAAAATTTGTATTAAAGCATAAACTTTGTACTAATTTTATAAGATATTACGAATAAAACTTACATTCCATAATAAATTGACGAAAAAAACAACAAAATACTAGAATAATCACAAGCCTTTTCATGGTTTGTATATTTTTTATAAACACAAGTACAGCTTTCTTTTCTTCATTTACAAAAACAACAGCTTTGATGTATATGAAACTTGGACATCACACCCACCACCCATATTTAATTACAGAGTTGATAATTAAACTAAATCAAATACAGAAAGTACATAACAGAGTTCCATAACCTGTTTTTGTTTAAATGCTCTTCAGCATCCTTCAGGGAATTTACTCAAATACAAAAAAAAACAAAAGGGCTAAATATTCTAAACAACTGCTTTTGCTAACTTTAAAGAATAGGTGGATGATACTACTAAGGTAGGCAGGTTATCCTGTCAATGTGAGACAGAGCTTTGGCAGAAGGCACAATTCCCCAATGGAGGTTTGAGAGCATGCCCTCTGGGAAATTTTGAAAATCACAACCAACACTTTCCTGCATTTTCTGGCCTTTTTTACATTATATATCTTTATAGGTTTTAGCTTTATTTGCACCGAGAGTAACAATCCAGTTTTTTAACACCACTATAATTTTGTGTCTTCTATTATTCTTATGATGCCTCTGAAGTACATGAAATTAGTCTTTAAATTTTTATATGTTCAAACACCTATAGGTACATCTTTCACCATTCACCGTGTAGAAGAAACTTAAAAGTTTAAACATTCCCAACTCATTAAACATAAACAACTATACAGCAGCATGACTTCTTTTCTTCTCATTATTAAAGTATATCAAAGTGATATTCATCTTGTTCAAAACACTGAATTAAACACTTACTTTGCCTTGCTTTTCTTTTGGAAGTCCAGCACAATCCTTCATCTCATGTCCTGAATGAGTATTAATCACATGCAACAAGCACCAAATTAGGCTCTTTCAGTTAAAAATAACATGGAAAACTGATATGCACTTTGAATATAAAAGATAAATACCATGGCTAAAAGATTACAGAAGTAAAAGCAAAATCTAATATTATTACTATTGTATTATCCTGCTTAATTCATGATGTTAAAAAACATGTAAGTTCAAGAAATCAATTTAACACAGAGATACAATACCCTATAACCTAAGTGCTTTTGAAAGAGAATCCCAGTTTGCTCCTGAGGAAGAAAAGTACACCTTTCGAAACACTCTGGCAATAGGGTATCATATCTTTGTGTTACTCTAGTTAATAATAACATAGTTCAATTATTTATACCTGCTCTTCTTTCTATTATTTAAAAAATACTAAATTATTCATTGAACAAAGAGTTTTCTCTGCTGGCACATAAAAAACTACTAACCAATCTGTCCACAAATGTCACAAGGACGTGGTTGATTTGGCTTGAACTCCTCTCGAATAATTGTAAAGTTAGGCTCATGAGTAGCCAATCCTAAAAAAAATGTTAACTATAACTTTGAGAGTCAAGATGATACAATAACACTACTTTCATAAAACATAAACACATTCTCATTGTTTTAAAACACTGGCAATAAGGTCCTTGCAAACCTTACATCAATAAACACCTTCCACCAAAATAATCTTACTTTTTTTTATTAAAGTACAGTGCACTTTTAATAGACCAATGCCATATACTACATAAAAAGAACATGTGGTAAAATATTTCAATGTTTATTACTATTCAGACATAGCCTATTTCTCCTCTAACTGTGCTAAGAGAAGCCACAGATACAAATATGAGAAGAATGATTGCAGGCTATTCGTGTAGTTGCTGTATTTTCACATGTATGAAACATACTCTTGCATTTCAGAAAGAAGTACACATGAAAAATGCAATGATACACAACCTGTCTGTGCAAGTTACAGGAATCTGCATATCTTCAAAGATTGGAAGATTTTAGTAAAATTTTGGCTCATAATCTTTTGGATTTCCACCTAATTTCAAATTCAAACATCGTCCAAGAACAAAAATGATAAACAAAACCAGTATTACAGCAAAGGTATTATACAAGAGCAAGTACAACAAAATCAGTATTACAGCAGAAGCATCATCAAAGAGCAAGAAACATAAAAACAAAATCCATATTACAGCAGAAGCACTATCAAAGAGCAAGTAAACATAAAAACAAAATCCATATTACAGCAGAAGCATCATCCAAGAGTAACTATCATAAAAATATAACCCGTATTATAGCAGAAGCATCATCAAAGAGCAAGTATTATAAAAACATAATAAGTATTACAGTAGAAGCATCATCAAAGAGCAAGTTTTATAAAAGCATAATCCATATTACAGCAGAAGCATCATTCAAGAGTAAGTATCATAAAAATATAACCCACATTACAGTAGAAGCATCATCAAAGAGCAAGTATTATAAAAATATAAGTATTACAGTAGAAGCATCATCAAAGAGCAAGTATTATAAAAATATAAGTATTACAGTAGAAGCATCACCAAAGAGCAAGTATTATAAAAATATAAGTATTACAGTAGAAGCATAATCAGAGAGCAAGTATTACAGCAGAAGCATCATCAAAGAGCAAGTATTATAAAAACATACCCAGTATTACAGCAGAACCATCATCCATAAGCAAGTATCATAAAAAATACAACCAGTATTACAGAAGAAGCATCAGATTAGCATGCCTCTTTTTTCTTGCTTTATAACAATGAAATAATATTTAATTCAATGACATCAGTAATCTGGCTAACTCACATATAATACATATTCTTGTAACATTACACGGAATAACTAAAATATAATCATCTTTCAGATAATGAGGAGAGATTCTGTTATACTTAGTTTTTTCTTATTTGTAAAATTTATTTTTAATAACATTAAAAATTTTTTTATGTATCTACTTATACCTCTTTCTATACAATTTAATGAGATTATTTTAAGTCTTTACTTTGTTACTGTTGTGAAAAAACATTAGATCTCTGACTAGTAAAGTATAAGTTCTTATTAGCTTTTAAAACATTCTTAATATTACTTGAATATTCAAAATACACAATATACATATTTTAGAAGAGTACTCACCCAGCATAATGAGATCAGCTAAATGTAGGGAAAAAAACAAACAAAATAGTAAATTAAATACAGAGCTTATAATTGCAACAATTTTATATTTATGTAAACTATCTCTCATTACAATATCTCACTTCATATTAGAACTTCTAATTTACAAAACCTGAGCTTTAACAAATTATCACTTTTACACCTGGACACAACACATTTATTTACTGCTTGTTAGTAACAGATTTGTTGTACAAAACTTACACCGTGTATATTTTTATAATTATATGAACTGTTTTCAATGAATAAAGCTTTACACAGGGTTGTTCACAATACTACTTCTAGTGACCACTTGTTCAATTTTTTCCACTACCTATCATATGCAATGTTAGCCAGTTTTGTGATATGCTTTGTTTTTTCCTTGCTTTACTGATACAGTTCAACACTACAGGTATCTTTTCTTCTCTGAAACGTTAAAAGTTCATGTCTTGCATGCTTTTATAGTCTCAGAATAGAAAAAAACACTTCATATTGGAAAGTGGAAAGTCCCATAGTGACCCTTATCAGAAGAGGTCAATTTTAAGTGTGCCATATGCACTTGTATATAACAAAATTTTTCAACTGAATTGAATGAGAGTGTCAGGGCCTTTTATCCTGTGTAGTTGCAGGATTGGGGATAGCTCAGAACAAAATGATTGGATATGCGTATTATTACCATGAATTGGCCAAAAACACATCAGTCCCTTATAGCTAAACAGAACCCCAAAACTTGGAACTGTGAATAAGATGATTCACAAAGATTTAAGTCTATAAAAGTTACACAAAACCCATGTTCAAAGTTTTTATCCACAGCACAAGATCAAACAGAAAAACAACTATAGAAAGCTGTACAAATGTGAAAAATGGAAGTATGTTATCACACTGAACAAAGCATCTATATATTTAAATTTCTACAAAAATTCAGGCACATTATTAACATCCTGCCAGTGATACATTTCAAAATTAAAAAATACAGTCAGTCAAACACCTGGAAAATTGAGAAAAATGACACCCTGCACACAATCAAGTTAACAAGTTAATACCACTACATCATGAGGAATTACCACCTTTTTACAGACTGGATACTAATAAGTTATGGCTCTATCAAGATAAAATATTCTGACACATGTTCACAACAACATGCCAGTTCCTCCATAAGACGAATCCACATTTTACTATTAGTGGACATAAGTAATGCACTTATGTGACTTTGGGTTACTCAAATAGTCACTCAGAAGTCATCGTCTACACAGAGTTTATGGATTTGGAAAAACATAAAGATGAGAGGAGAAAATAATATACTTCAATGAATTGCACCAAAGCCTCCTGTAGCAGAAACTGTATTGTAAAGACATTGTCCATTATCAAAGCCATCACTCTGAACACCACTGATGGTAGTAAATTGGAATACAAATCCTAGGCTCTCCTTATATCATTACCAAAGAGTGTGAACACATCTCCTGTATATTTTACACATATGAACTACATTTAGCAGACAAGCACCGTTATTCAACAAATAAATCCTCATGAAAAACCTCTTGTGACTAAATGATAGTTTTACCCATTTTTTTTAACTACCAATGATTACTGAGAAGGTAATATAACTTTTAACATACCAAACAGCTTTATACTAATCTTTCATCTTTAAAAGTCCAATAGAAACCCTGCTTTAATAATGGCCGAGAGATACACATATAGGTGATAACAACAAATTATCTTAATCATGTGTGTGTTACAATGTAATTAATTACCATTTGTTTCACATTTACTTATTGTTAATGAAGTAAAGTACCACCTGAAAATATTTTCTCATTTGTATGCTTTAGACTTGCATAACAGTTTATATTACATGCATGAACATGAATAGAGGCTACTTTGCACTGTTTGCAAGTAGGTGAACCACAAATAACAGGCTTTACAATTCTCTGTCAATGAAATTCATAATACATTAATGGTTAAGCTCAGTAAGCATGTTTGCACATCAATACACATGTTAAAGCAGTTCTGATCCCACTTGTCAGCTTCTATGACTGTTTGTTACTGATATTTGTGAAACGTTATATAAGGGCTATTTGCACTAACCATTCCCTAATTTTGAACTGATAGACTAGAGGTCAGGCAACTAGTTAACAGCACCCACTGTCAATGCACGAGCTACTGTAAGCAAATAGTAGGATTTGACAATCACTCTTATAATGCATCAATAGCCACGAAGTATGGAGCTTTTGTTGTGGCAATAGGAAACAAACCATGTACCCTAAGATTCACAAGGTCATGCCAGACCAAACTCCTACAAAACAAACATCATGATGCAGTAACTAATGGTTCAAGTCTACTACTGCATGAAAATTGTTTTCATCCAATTGATGAACTTATTATCTCATATTTCACACTTGGGAAATTTGTTATTAACAGTCATAAAGTGATTACTGGTTATATAATTTTAATCTTTTTTTTTTATTACAACTAATATACTTATTCATGTTATGTTATAAACATGTCATTTTTGTGATTTAAATATTTATACACCATATTAAACACTTCTAATTCAGGTTTTATAGTTTTTACATTTCTCATAAACATATCCTAATTCCACATTATTGAAAAATTCATTCTTTGTTACATTAAAATTTTGGATGCAATTTGTAAACCTTGGAATAACACGTACCATCCAATGAAAATTTATATTCTGGGGTTAAGATTTCATAAGAGTTCATTCAGCAGTTCATCTGCATGTACATATATATATACATAAGCTGCCTGATACTGTCTGTGAAGTTTCTTGACATTTGAAACAAAATTACATATACAGACAAGTTATGAATTTTTAGAAGTTATTACCGGGTAGTATTATACTCATAATGGTTAAGGCAATATAGAAGTTAACTATTGTCACTTTTCATAAACTTAAACTTTAATAGATTTTACTATGCACAAACTTAAAAAACCACATTCACAAAAAAAGATTTGAATAAAAGTATAAGTGTGTATTTGTACAAGAACCTGAATTAAAAAAAAAAGAGATTTAAAATTTCTTTTATTTTAAAAATAATATTTAATATTTGAATACAACTGCACACAATATTAAGTTAAAATGTTAAATTTAAAATTACATACCATCAGCCCCACATAAACAATGATGTGTGTTTGGATCATGGTCTGGATTAGCTGTGAAAACCAAAAAACATGGCAAATATTCATCACATAAAATGACAGAAAACAAGCAAAGCATACGAGTTTCAAACATATTTACAAGACAGACACTTGTTATTAACTTATATTACTTTAATCAAAAAGTATAACAGGTAAATAAGATTATTTAATTTGTTACCACTACAAGGATGCTTTCCATGTTTTTGTTAATACACACACACACATGATAATAGTTTCATCAAGGTTTTTGTCTTGATACCATGTGTTTTTATGCATTTCACAAAATAAATATTCTTAAATAAGGGTTCTTATTAGACATTTAGATCAATTATTATTATATTATTATGTAAATATTTATTTCTATTAAATACTTTACAATAAACTTCTCCAGTTTGTTTGTTTTGAATTTCGTGCAAAGGTACACGAGGGCTATATGCACTATTCGTCCCTAATTTAGCAGTGTAAGTATAGAGGGAAGGAAGCTAGTCATCACCACCCACCACCAACTATTGGGCTACTCTTTTACCAACGAATAGTGGGATTGACCATCACATTATAATGCCCCCATGGCTGAAAGGGTAAGCATGTTTGGTGGGACGGGGATTCAAACCCGCGACCCGCAGATTGCGAGTCAAGCGCTCTAACCACCTGGCCATGACGGGCCTAAACTTTTCCAATTTAAGACTTTGTAGGCTGCTTTTTGGAAACAGTTTTTGAATAAATAATCAAATTATTTATCAGAAAGCCTAATTCTAATATGACTGCCCTAGCTTTTGAACTGATAGCTTTCTACTTAAATGGCAAGAATACAGAACTTGGATACACATATTGCACCTTCAAGCAATTTATATGATTAATATGTAATCATTATCTGGGACATATGATAACTAAGTTTAACTATTAAGTCAATAAATGGGCTTGAAAAAAGAAGTTTGAATCAAATAATAAAATCTTACCCTGATTTTAATGTGTAGTGACTTATATAATTATCATATGTATATACATTTATGCTAATGACATTAAAAATCAAAACTTTTTATACAGAGTGAAACTACGCTGGGCCATTTTATGTCCAAAATAACTGCAAACAAAGCCTATATTTAATTTCTAAAATATATTTTAATACACTTCTAGCTTTTAAGGAATTAGAAAAATAATATGTCTATGTTTGTTTTTATAATGTGATGTTAACATAAGTACATGAAACACCTAATTTTTTTTTAATTTTTTTTATACACACAAAGTAGTGGGAGTTAAATAATAACATTAATTTAACCCTTTCCAGTCTGGAAGGGTATCAGGATATCCTTGGTTCTTTTTTGTTCTCGGTGAAAATACTTAACCAAATTGTATGAAACTTGAGACAAACTTTCTAAATGTCTAGTTTCTGCCTGGAAAGAAATTACAAATTTTATTTAGTATTTGAATAATTTTTAAGTTTGAGAAGTCTGACATTTTGTTGTAAAATACTTTTAATATTGATAAGAAAGTTCAATTTTATATATCCAATAAGTTTACATTTTTTCATATTAAAAATCTATTTCTTTTGATACCTTATTTTGGCAATTGAACCAGTTAACTTTTCACTGTAAGTCAGGTAATTTTCAGGTAATGAAAATATAGCCTTCCTACTTCAGTAGCTGTATGTTGGGTTTAATTGTTTAAAAACAAAGTTGTATTCTGCCATGATAGATAAGCCATCATATTGGCATCTCAACAACAAGGCAATTAATATGTGCGAATATGGATTTTTGAGTAACAAAGTTAGAGCAGGCACAATAGCAAGCCTGTACCATCTTTACTCACCTGAATGATGAAAAAAAAATCAGGTGTTAAATGATTAATTAACAGGTACCATTTTACTAATCTAGTAAACTTGCCTCAAAAACATTGCTAAAAGGTTAAAATTTGGGGGGTGGTAAATTGTGGTCATTATTCCATGTGCACTGGTTATTTAACACGCGCGTCATGCTAACACACTAATATCAATTGTCTCGTAAGAAAGACATGTTCACAATAAAGAACTGTCCTTTATATGCATGTTTGTGTGATATTCAGTATACAAAAGAATAGATGCTTTAATGTTCTGTGTATGGCACTGTTAATCAAATTACTAACACAGTGCAACAAAATATTATATCTACTTTTAGAACTCACAAGTGACAGATGTTTGTTAATATTAAAAGTTGAGTTCAAGGTTGTCATTATATACTTTAAAAATTAACTGTTCATATGTGTCAAAATTAAGGAATTTTCAACATTCTATAAATTTTCAATCATTAGTAAACATTAGAAAATACAGGTTTCAATAAAAAGACTGACTTCTCATTTTAGAAGCTAAATCATTACCTCTCTGTCTGCGAATGTAGTCCATGATCTTGTGCTCGCCTTCACCCGGAACATTTGCATCTGAAAGAATGACTTCAATGTTCTTCCAACCAGGATCATTGTTAAGTCGGTTATGAATGTAATAATCTAAGCATTTGGCTAAACGAGCCATGAAAGGGGTGCCCTATAAGAAGAGAAGGCAAAATCTTTGGATGTAAATTAAAACAAATACACAAGTATCAAATGTTCAAAAGGGCTGCAAAAAGAAATTCCAGCATTAAGGGATGTAATCCATAGAACACAAGGTAAGCATTAATGACATGCATGCTAATTATTAACCAAAATTCAAAATAGTCTCCATTAATAGATTCTTGAACACATCCTAAGCCACTCACTATATTATTCTTTGCAACTGAAACAGGTCTTTTATAGTTACAAAATATACTGTGCAGTATAGATAAAATAAAGGTGTTGACCTAAACATTACACGTTATATTTTGTTTGTTTGTTGAATTTCATACAAAGTTACTTGAGGTCTATCTGCATTAGCCATCCTTAATTCAAAAGTGATAGACTTTTAGGGAGGCAGCTAGTAAACACCACCCATTGCCAACTTTGGGCTACACTTTATCAACAAATAATTGGATTGATCATCACATTACAATGCACCCATGGTTGAAAGAGTAAGCATGTTCAGTGATGGGATTCGAACCTGCGACCCAGTTGACTGTTGTACTCACCATACCATAAAAAAAATAAATACAAATTGTATGAATAATCCTGGGTTTGCATACTATCCAGATTACATTTTGAATGTAACTCACTAACATGCACAGAAGGGGGTTTAAAGATGGCATCATTGCTACAGTTAAATAGACAAATATGTGTCATCTCTTGACAATAAAACCATTATACTTCCAAAAAATAAGAAACCTCACAACACGAGTACCTTTGAAAGGTAGACCTTTCTTCATCAGAGGTAAGATTATCCCAGTTTTTCCATGATCAAGAAAGGATTTCTTATTTTTGCCTTTTATTGATCTTAAATATTGTAAGAACAAGTCTTCCTAATGGCCATTTAATTTCAAATTTTTCAATGATGAAAAACACAAAAATTGACTTAAACACGGGGTGATAAAAAAAGAAGTAAATGAGGAAATCATGCAAAAAAATTAGATGGATGGAATTTGAAGATATAAACTAAACAATGATCATTCAACAATTTTGACGTCAGTACATTTGGAAATTAAATTGAAAATAAACACACACAATACAGTACAAAAAGATATCCATAACAAAAGTGATACTAGGTTCAGCATTTAAAAATTTATTTATAACTCTCAAAAAATCACTCATGCACAATTCACCCATTAAATTATAATGAAAGGGTCACAACAAGAAATCTACATAAAGTAACTAGAAGTCCATTATAGAAAGTGAACTCAAAAATAGAAAACTGAATATCACTAACATGATGGAAAACTGCTTATGACTGCATTTTGGATGTATGCAATCTTATCATTATCTAAGATTTATCAATCTAATTTTAAACATTTAATTAATAACTTGAATACATATGTGTAAATATATTTTTATTTTATTCTTACTTTCTTAAATACTGTAACTCAGTGTAATTCACATAATAATGTTGTTAGCTAACTATGTTTTCTATCAGTGATAGTGTGAAAACGTTTTATATAATTTGATCATTATTTGGAATTTCTTTAACCAACTTTTTCTAAACTCGCCTTGCAAAACTGTACAATTATTTCTGAGAAAACAAGATTTTTTTTTTACATCTTTAAACAAAAATGACACCTAAACTTACAGGAGTAATGCAGTTACTATCAAAGTGTTCTTCTTTTGGCTTTTCAGGTGGTAGATGGGCTCCTCTTTTATCTAATTCTTCTCGAATTCGAGATACTTCAGAAGTTTTTTCAACAGACTCCTTTGATGCTCTAAATCGTCGGGATCTCTGTTGGTTCATTTTTGCTCGTGGAGCCTGAATATAAGAAAAATTACACTTACAAACAATAAAATTAAAATGCAAAATAGGAATAGTTTTTGGATTCCACACAATTATCATTATAAACCTTTGGGGGTTCAACTTCACCCTCCTTCTCAGTTATTCATAGCTGTATGTGAAGGAATAGTTGTTTTTTAGATTCCACACAATTATCATTATAAACCTTTGGGGGTTCAACTTCACCCTCCTTCTTTCTCAGTTATTCATAGCTGTATGTGAAGGAATAGTTTTTTTTAGATTCCACACAATTATCATTATAAACCTTTGGGGGTTCAACTTCACCCTCCTTCTTTCTCAGTTATTCATAGCTGTATGTGACACCTCTGCTATTTTTCTCACTGTTTCAATAAACATTAAAGATAAAAATTATTTGTTATAACTTGAAAACTGTAAGAACATGTTTCTTGAGTTCAATCAACTTATGATCATAAGGCATTTAGATGCCTTTTCATTCTTAATTTCACACATGGCATCCCAAAAGAATTTGGGAAATATATGTCAGCCAAAATTTATTTGAATGGGATTTTATTGTATTTAAGATTTAAAAAAAATTTAATTTGATTTATGAAAAAATATTGCATATAATGCAAGCTATCGGAAAATGGATTCCAGCCAATGGCTCTGGGACTCCAAACAACTTGTGTACGTGTGTGTGTGAACAACTGCTCTTACCCTGTAACAATGCACTGATGGTTATGAAATCCAAAATTCAGAAAAAAATTCCTCTCTTCTTTGAGGTGTAACATTTTGGCTTAAACGTTATTTGAAGAGAACTTAACTCAAGAAACAATAGTTTGGGCTTAGCCTACTACAGTCCAAGTTGATCGTTTACAAAAATTAAATACTGCTACAAGAAACGCAATACTCTTAGAGATAAGTACTATCACACATAACAGTGGACTTTCAACATTACAATGGTCAACATTCAAACAGAAATGAATATGATCCATACCTACACACCATCAATTCACACTAACAATGTGCTGTACGCAGTACATATACATGTACCTTTTACACTTTGTGTTACTGTACAAACGAACCTTTTTTCTTTCACATGTGTAGAAATTCCGAAGAATTAAATTTGTTGTTATCATGAAAATTTACAGTAAACAGTGACTGCACTGTTTGATTTTTGAACATTTAATAAAACTTGCATAAGCAAAGAATTGTAAATTTTTGACTTCTAAGGAAAATCCACATTAATATATCCAGCAAGTTGAATTGTCTCAAACGTAACACTAACACTGCATCTGATAACATTTCCTCTTTGATGATCTTTGAGTGACTTTTCCTGTGGTATCTTCAATCCAAACAGCTGCTTGTAGAAGCAGCTCACTTTTATAAGCCCTAAACAGCAATGTACCATGGAATTTACATACAAACTTAGGGTATTACTACACCAACTCTATTAGTAATACAGTCTTGTTCTAATTACATTTCTAATGTTGAAAATGTGTTTAAGCTATTAAAATACTTTGAAATTATATATTAATCACATTCAAATATCAAGGTCTGAATATAAAAAGCCTTTCAGAAATGTCCAAAACATAGTACAATTCACTTACATCAAATAATTAAAAACTTTGGGACACAACTTTACTTATACACAGTTCAAAACAGTAGCATTACAAACTTAAATTACATAATGTGCATTACTCTAAAGAATAGAATACCATTATATAATGGCATCAAATTTTAACTTTTCCACGATAAGATCTCGCCAATATTCCTGAAACAAGTCTTTACTGCCATACATTAAAATCCTGCAGAGAAAGATAATTGATATTGCTCAATAGTTTCACGATTACACGTATAAGCATTCACTTATTGTCAAATACAATTTCTTTATGAGATCGTATATAACCGAACTTGTTCTGAATAGTTCATTCTCAATGTACGCAACAGAAGTACACATACTCACGTGATTATGCTTGCTATTCATTCATGAATTCTTAATGTGTTGTTCTACAAACAATCATAAATAATGGAAAGTTACTTCCTATCAGTACTGTAATTACAAGTGGTTTCCATTCAGAAATATCCTTTAGTTAATAATGGTGATTTTTTTTAAACACTTATCATATTTGGCAAATTTTGATGGCTGTTCATGAACATTTAAAAATTTTTTCATCTTACTCTTAGCATTTTTTGGTACAAAATGACATTTCTTTGACTTTTCAAACAAACTGAATTTTTCTTTCAGAAGCAACATGAACTAATTACAATATAAGTTCTTAGAGGGGTGATGTTTGAAGTTTCTTCATTAATGGCAAAGTTTCACTTCGTTAAGAAGTAAAGAAAAATTAAAAAACGATGAACTAATAAAAATTATTTACAAGTAAGAATGGTCTGATGAATTTCTAGGAAATTATAATACAACTTCCAAACATGTAAAAAATAGAGTAAACAGGAACTTAAAATATTGAATACATGTCAAATGCCCTTGAGATGATGATCTTATAATGCAAAAATAAACTTACCACCCCATCAATAGCCATGTATAAAAGCCTTCTAGGTCTTACTATACTGAATATGCGGTCAATGTACTCAAAAATAGCAACCATCATTTCATCTTCATTTTTGGGGGCTGGTCTAGAACATATAAACAAGACGTACATATATTTTTAGCAACATACATATTTATTCACTTGATATACTAAATATCTAACTGGTTGCTGAGTATTCTTACAGATATACTGACTCCACCTTACGTTCTACAGAAAATTTATCACTACCGTATCTCATAATTAAAAACTTGTACACATTTTTTTAAACCTAATATAAACATTACAATATTCCTGTTTGACACTATTTTATCAAGTCCTCAGAACAGAAAACTGCTATCAGAATTACAAGATTAACTGTAAGAAAAAATATTCAATAGTCAAAAAAATGATTAATTTATTCCTGGTTAATTCAGTAATTGGCCATTTAAATCTATTTACCAGAGTCATACTGTAACATATCTATTCAGTAAAAACTATGAATTTGGTATGCTGGTCATAGAATCCCAGTATTATGTCCAGCTACATTAATTTAGTTAATAACTTGAGAAACTACTATGTACAATAGAACAATATGACTGGAGATGCAACCTACTGCAAACTATATATCCAGATTGTTCTTAATAATGTACTTTTTATCATCCAGTACTTAGTATCTACAAGTAAGAATAACTCTATGAAAGAACATTATGCTAATGTAATAGTAAATTAAGAAACAATGGTTTATATGGATAATTAAGTGGTGTATTTTAGGGGAACATACAACATACACATTTTAATAGTTTTGAAAAAAATAAATTACTATAACAAATTGAAGAAAAGAGAAAGAAAACTGATGTCAAATGAATATGCATCCTTATTCATTCTGATTTTTTATCTGAAATCTACATCTTTTAGTTTCAAAACTATGTGTTATGGTTTTTCTTTTATGTACTGCGTCTGAAGCATCTCGTTGCAATGACCGGCAGTAATCAGCCATCATGCTGATGTTCAACATTCCCTGATACCTTCTCTCCATTTCCCTGATGTCTTGATGAAACCTCTCCCCCTTGTTCCTTGCTGACAGCACCAAGATTTTCAGGGAAATAGTCAATATGTGAGTGTAAGAAATGAACTATTCAAGCTCATATTACAACCCAACTCTTTGAATTTATCGGGCATGTTATTGACAATATTTTTGTAATTTGGGTCCTTGTTGATTCCTAAAAATATGTCAATAACATTTTTAAAGGCAATCTATGCTTCTTTTTCAACTTTCCTCATTGTTCTTTCGAAATGTTCATCCGAAGTCAATTTCCTTATCTGAGGTCCAACAAAAATCCCTTCTTTAAGTTTCACTTCTGCAAGAGCTGGGAATTGCCCACATAGATACTTGAAACAGTTACCATCTTTGTATATGACCTTTACAAACTGCTTCATTAAGCCCAGTTTTCTGTGAAGTGGAGGTAGCCAACCAAGAAGTTCAAGATTTTCATATGTTTCCTTCAAGTGAACTGAACAAGCAATAAGAACAAATGCACATATATGACCATTGTGAAGGAGAACACCTTTTAGACTTCTTTTCGAGGAATCAATGAACAATCGTCACTCACTTGATTCATAGACTGCAGCTCCTAGTATTGGTATTAATTCAGCAATATTGTTGCAATAAACCAGTGAGGTTTCTTGCGTAAAGTATGATATAAACTCTTTCTCACCATTCCTGTACCAGTAAAATGAGATCCCTGGAGAAAGTAAATTCTTAGCCCGTAGTCTTGACTCCAAAATCTCTGAAGAATCCTATGGAAGGCCCAAATTTCTCACCAAATCATTAAGTTCACCTTGTGTGAAAAGTTGTGGTTCACCAGATGTTTCAGGTTGATCATCATTTCTACTGACATCAGAT